CCGCGTGTAAGAGCGCGACGTATGTAAGACGCCGGGCCGCGCCGTGGGAAGCCAGAATTTTTCACCGGCGCCGCGCGGGCAGCGCTTTTCTCACCCGCGCCGATAGTCACGAAGTGCGGCACACCTTCGGCGCGGGAGGCTGCACACCCACACTCTCGAAGATAAATTGTCGCCGATAACATCTGCCGTGCTTGCGCGCGATCACAATTGCACGCCGTGATAACGAGACATCGGCGTGCATATCCTCCCCGCGCGGTATCCTATCGCGCGCCGCTAAGGAATAATTAATGAGTAATGAGAGATTAATATCGCGAAGAGTAAACGAGAAGGAAGGCCCGCGTGGACTTATCCTCAGTTTAGAGAAAGAGAGTAAATGTATAATTAATACCTGTGTAGTACGTGTCGTAATATATAGATATTTTCATCGGCTTGAAAGCAAAAATGTCATTTATAGAAGTGACTCGCAAGAGACTCGAATGTATTTTCTGACGAGTGTACATTAAAAAAATTAACGTTAATTTCATTTTCGACTTTCTTTCAATAAATTCTCTCGTATATGACAAATATAGAATCCGTAAACGCGAAAGCAGTCAAACAGTTTCTCCTTATCCAGTGGTTATTCCCGGTGTGTTTTATCGGCTTGAAAGCAAAAATATATGTCATTTAGAAATAACTCGCAGAAGAGACTCGGATGTATTTCCTGACGAGTGGACATTAAAAAAATTAACGTTAATTTCATCGACTTTCTTTCAGTATAGATTTTCCCGCGTGACAAATACAGAATCCGTATTACCGTAAACGCAAACAGCAAAAAACGTTCAAACAGTTTCTCCTTATCCAGTGTTACCCGACGCTTTACACTCGGGCGTGCATCATGACTGCCGCGATGAAAATCGTCGATACACGAATACGCGGGGCGATACGAGGCGAGTATTAAATTCTGGCGGTTATATCAGCGAAATGCATTTTCATACATGACCGCGGCAAGAGCAGATCGTAACCGACGCGAAAGCAATCGCCAGTACGCGGATGTATTTTCCGGGACGAATTTTCCGCGTCGCCGAGGGGAACCCACCCCGCTCCTGCACCCCCGTCCCACAAGGTGGGCCGGGAGAGAGGCGTGTTATATACGTGTTATACCCCGGCGTTATACCTCACCGCGTCGTTTCGCCTCTCTTTCACGAAAATAAATTGCCGCCGATAACATCTACTCTTTCGCGATACATTGAGCAGACCGGCCCGCGATAAGGTGGTACGACGATCTTGGGAGTGACGACGTGGGAGAAAATATACGGTTCCGCGCCGCGCGCGCGGATTTCGTGGGCGCGCCGACCTGAAAAGTTCAGTAATTATTTACGTATGCTATACACTTTAAGTCTCTTTTTAGTTCTCAGGCTGTCCAGAAATACACACACCCGGAAAACCACGGCTTTTAAATCCGATAGCGTGATGTAGCGTAGTCTGCAACCTTGTAAAAAGGCAGTATAACGCCGTGTAATTTATAGTATCTCCCCTTTTTGATTATATAGCCGGATTTATATACGTCAGCTACGACGTAAATCCTTTTAATATAACACAGCGTAATATAACATAATTATAATATAATATATACATATATAATGCATTCTAATTTTCTGTAATGCTCCTGCGATTTAATTACCGATGCACTTATTATACAGTCTTCGTTACCCTAATTTGATTTGCTCGCTCATAAACTCTGCGAATAGCCCGTTAAATATATATATCACAGTTAGTTAGTAACGTTAGCTAATAGTCAGCGTGTAATGGTACCTCAGAATGAGCGAGATTTATCTTGAGTGGCTTTATTTAGAGAAATTTATTGCACAGCACGCTCGACTTGGCCGGATGAGAGGGCATGCTTAAGTGACTGAAAATTTTGGCAATCACCGCGCAGACATGACTTGTCGCGTGCAGGCCATGTGCGTCAAATGGCATACGTTCAACACGTCCGTGACAGATGCGAGGTGGAATCGCGAATGTTGACGTTCCGAAAAATTGACAAGGTAAGAAGCTGCAACCCATGGTCCGCACGTTCCATTAATATCCGCGATATCCACAATAAGTCTCCCCTAATCGCATGCCAGTCAGAGTACATGTTCAATTAAGAAGAACGTAAGCAACGTCTTATCGCGAAGGATGGCGTAAGATTATATACTCTTATGCCGAGGAAAATTCAAACTCCGAAAGACTGGATGCTGGAAAGCAAATAGGTTCGTTCTTTTTAACTGTGACTTCTTGCGCCTTTCCTCTTCTTCTTTTTTTCCTCCAGCCTGGAGGGAAAAAGAGGAAGGATGAACCGTGCGAGAAGTGAAGAGCAGCTGAAAGAACAAGTCTAATGTCGGGGCTCCTAAAGTATACTCTATCGGATTTTTCAGTCTTTAAACTTTGATCTTTCAGCTCTTTTAACTTTATAGCTGCATGCAAAAGCGACAATAAACTGCAAGAGCGATTTACATTAAATTAGCGTTTCAAGATACGCCGGGATGTAAAAAAAACTTAGTATAAGATCTTGTCGCTGGAATATGTTCGTGGATTATATAGGTTCAAGAGGGTTCCCTCTCCAAGTGCCGATTAGATGATAGACCGAGCATCGTCGTGATCCTCCGTTCCAAGTGATCCAACGGAGAGAGACGTTGTACTAAAGAGGGGAGAATAGAAGGCTTAGGCGGAGAATATAGCCTCCAGCGTGTGAGCTTGCGTCCGATACATAAGTGGTATATACCACTGCGAGAGAGAAAGAGAGAGAGATAGAGCGAGCTAACATAGATATACGGTTAATAAGAATGTATAGCGAGACGGGCGAAAGAGAGAGAGAGAGAGAGAGAGAGAGAGAGAGAGAGAGAGAGAGAGAGAGAGAGAGAGAGAGAGAGAGAGGGAGAGTGGTATCGCCATCGTGTGCGCGGCTCCACGTTGAGTTCGCAGCTATATACGTACGTCACGGACACGGCCCTAAGAAAAATGCGATGCCGGCCGTCTCTATGCCGCGGCGCGCGGCGCCTTGAAATGAAAACAAACGATCGTCGGGCAGCGCAGAATCCATTGTGCTCCACGTAGCCCGTGGCTATAATCATGCCGTAGTAGAACTTGCACAATGCATCGACAATTGCCTGTCAATCGAATGCGGTAACCGGTATCCAGAGCGGTGGATAACAATGTCGCGCCGCGTTACAAAGCCGCGTGTACGGCGCGCGCGAGATTAAATGAGAGAGAAAGAAAGAAAGAAAGAAAAAAAATGACTCGTCAGCACGCTCTTCGAAGAAGAGCGACGCGAAAGGGTGTAAAAGGGGACGCGCGCGTGCGAGATTGAAAATTCGCCTCGACGTAAAAATCCGCGCGGCGCGGCGCGGCGCCCCGTCGTCGTCGTCGCTCAGCGAGTTCGACGGAAAATATCGTGCGTTTGATCGGTTTGACGTTTCTTCCTTTCTATTCGCGTTTATCCCCTCGCTCGCGCGATAGGTCCCCCGTTGTATGTCCGCGCGTCAAACGATATTTTCCATTTCCCGCGGAATACGGATTCTCGCCTTCGGCGGAGAGACTGCTAAACGAACGTTATAACCCGCGCGCGCCGCTTGTGCTTCCTTCAATTTTTTATGTCATTCGCGCGTGACTCTCTCGCTCTCTTTCTCTCTGTGATATTTATATGAATTCGCGAATTTTTTTTATTTCACGAATGCAATCAGCTCGATGCGATTACGTACGTGTGTCGCGGACATGTACTCTTGCTCAAAATGAATATGAATGATAGGTATTTTAGTCAAGTTAAAGCTCGGCGCTCTCAACTTTCCAAGTTCCGGAGTTGTCCGGATAGTAATAGCGTAAACTAAGCAAACAATGCACTTGTCTACTTCATTGTTTCATGCGTTTCGCTAACTTTTCTACTGTTTGCCTTCTAGTCTTACCACTGCATGCATATTTCAAAAGAGATATGTCCAAAGTACATTCTCTACGAAATCGAGTTATTTATTATACGAATTTTATTATACATATCGGTTCTGAAATTTTTGTTATATAAATTTTATTATATATCGGTCTCCAAAAGCTTAGTTGTTTTCAATTCTTTTAGAATTTTATATTAATTTAATACATTTTTATGTCAAAAAGAGAGGTATATTAATTTTTTTAGATTAAAAAATCTTCAAAAATTTTTTGAATTAAAAATACATTAAATTCGACATAAAATATTGTTAGGAAATATCTTTTCACATGTAAAAAAATACTTGAGTTTTATATTTTAAAGATATTATCACGACAATGTCGACAATATATTATATATTGACAATATATTATATATTGATATTGGCACGACATTTATTAGATTGCTCCAAAAATAAATCTTAACTATGTATATAGTAAGAATTTATTTCAATTTAATGGATTATCGGAAGAGAAATGAAAGTAATTACGGTCAGACTATTATATATAATCATAATTGATAAATTATCGTAACCACTGGCGCTGACAGTAGGTTGGCTTTAATGATAGCTTCTACAGGTGGTCGGTTGGCATTCACGATGTCAATGGCACCCATCTAATCTGGTTACCTCGATGTATCCCCCGAGTTACGAAACTCCTGGCAACAACATGCGGAATAACAGGAATTTAATCTCGATTCAATGACGACGAGACGGTCGCGCCGATTTGGAAAGTTTTCTATGTAAAAAAGTTTCAGAGGACGGCGAGAAAATAAAGTCCACTATCGCGATAAAATTTAAGTTTTCCCGTTTGAAATAGGTAATTGGATACAATCCAACTTTTTTCTCATTATACGAGACTTAATTTCTCGCGCATCTCTTCATGGAACATCGATACGCGGCTACTATAATTTCGTCTCGTGAAAATCAATTTATCAGGAGAAAATAACGTATCATATTTTGCATGAATCCGGAATTAATTATTGTGCCGCGGAAGATGATTACAATTATTTTTAAGCTGTACTTTTTCGCGTATCCCCCAAAGATTTTCCTTAAAGAAATGTTCACCGGTAACAGCTGCAAAGACGATAAAAGTTCCGCTGGCGACGCCTCTTCCTGGAACCCGTTCAACTTGTCCCAGATGCACTCTCGCGAACAATATACAATTCAGCGTTTCCTCAATCGGGCGTCGCGGTGCGCGCTTCACACCATCCTCGCGCACGCCGCGTAATCTCCTGGGGAGATGCAATTTTGTGGTGTTTACGTATCGACGTGTTTGCACGTCGAAATGCGAAACAATGCGCTCCGGGTTACATTGTCGACACCGTACAATTAAGACTATCGAAACACACGCGGGCGATGCGCGTCACTCGCTCGAAGCTAATTGTCGCGAGACCGTGACGACGGGATGCGTGTAATACCGTTCAGCTTTTCCGCGCGCGCGCGCGCGTGCGAATTGACCCTTCGCGTCGCGCCTTTCGCGTCGATTCGCATCGTTAAAAATTATGCCACGTCTCGTTCCTCGTCGTACTTATTACAACCCTCCGGATTCGGATGCGCGGCGACGTGCTCTCGCAGTCGCATTGTCAAAATTATGCGACACCGCTCTCGGTCCTCGCGCCGACGGACGTGCTCATACCGGGGCGCGGCGACACGACCGACGGATAGGCACGTGCATGGTACTACACGGAAAAGGGACGGGAATGGGTGGTACGTCACGCTGAGCTCATGCGTCGTCATGGTAACGTATTCTCCGTTGGTTGACCTTGAGCAGGGTAGAACGTGGGGCTCTCTCCGCGAAAGGGTGAAGGAAGCACGAGGAAATGAGAGAGACGCGCGAAACACTCGAAGGAGGCGCTGAAAAAAATAGGGACAAAAGGGTGGAGCGAAGGAGGGGGCGAGGGGGGGGGGGGACAGAGAGCCGAGAGTGAGGGAGCGAGCTTCTCATCGCGGGCGCGCGCGACGAAGATTCTCCGCTCCGAAGGAGAGTCGCCGTAAAAGAGGATTGAGAGGCATAAAGTCAAAAGGAAACTAACGGCCGGCTTTATGAACTGTAAAGAAAGTTTCGTTTTCCTTTTATTGAATAAATCAGCGGTGCGCGCGCAGCCAGTTGGTTGCTGATGAAGCGCATTAATGAAGCCGCGCGGGCAGCTCTAGGGCTCATTGTTCTTAACACGGTTAAGCAGTCTTGAATGCCGTAGAACTCAATAGTATATATAGCTCAGTTCGATATTCAATACAGTAGGGGAAAATTTCGGTCCGCCTGCTCGCCGCATTCAGCGGCAGACAGGTGCAGTCTATCCTTGTGAATTTTGCTCGTATAACACGGGATAATTAAGTCGGTGGTATAGGTAGGTTTAAAGAGGATTCGTTTCAGACCGTACACATATATATTTCGTACAGCTGTTACACACAGATACTCTTTATTCGCGAAATTTGTGTAGCACCAGAAATGGGCACGATATATACGTATATATATTATACAAGTATAAGAGGAAATGCGCTGCAGGGAGCCGCATAATCACACTTAACAGCAAATACCTCGTGCGAGAGCCCTTGAATTTTCAGTGAGGTACGATCGAGCGTTTTTACACGCGACGGAGCTGTTTAAAATTCCGGTCCGACTGCAGAAGAAAATCGCTTACAAACGCGCCGAGCGGAGTATATAATTAAACGATGCATATTCATAGGGCAACCGTGAAAGTTACGATTTACCTCTGTGTCACGCAAAGCAAAAGGATCGATGGTTACCCTGGATCACGCGTTACAATTTAGGCATCGCAATTTAGGCACCTTTTACGGCATCAGATAGAGCCAGTGCTCTCTGATACGCGTACGTTCGACGTGGCTAATTTAGCAGTACTACATTTTGCGATAAACATTCCAGTTCACGCCAGAAACACATTTGCCTAGTTAAATCTAGATTCTCGCAAACATGCTGTTGATGAAAGGGGTCTGTGTGAACATGTGTATTGAAAAATATGTTTCAACAGGTAGTTGAAACATATTACCTCTATTTTTCTCGCTTTAATCATCGTGAAAAGAACGATATTTTAGAATATTTAGATGAAGAGAATTTTTCTACACAATGTTCCTACTCATTCGCACGCTTTTGAAAAATGACGAGGTATTGAGTTGTTTTATTCGTTAATAATGAATGAATATCATAACTTTTGTTTCCACTCTGTGTAATATTTGTAGAAAAAAAAATGTACCAGTTAATAAACGCTAAAATGGTAGAATAAATTTTTTATTCTGATATTAATACATATTTGAAGAATTTTTCAATATAAACAGATTTTTTTCAGCGGTGAATTTTTATAAAAATAAGTAATATTTATTTATTCTAAGCAAGATCTGCAAATTGCCACATAATGGTTTTTTCATTTTCCTCTACTAAAATAATTTCGAATTGTTCAACAGTATAAATGACTTTTCACTTCCAGCTTTACATCACAATTATTTCACAATTTAAGATTCTTAATATTGTGAAATTCACGATTTTATACACGTAAGAGTGTATCATGCAGTCTCCGTAAACGTTCAACTCATCGTATCTCCCATCGAAAGTCGATTAAAGTCTGTTCCGATGAGCGACATTGTAAAAATAGTAGAAAAATGTTAGATAACGGATGTTAGGCGTCTTAATTTCTTCCGATAGAACGACGGAACATTTTTACGAAAGAAATAACGGTGTTCGTATTTCCCTGCAAATTTGATTTGAGACAAATACAATCAAATTTTTATTGTTCCACGATATAAAATTTACAATTTTGCACGATTTACATCTTATATGAATATAGGGTAAATCGTACAAAATTCATATATATTCATATTGTGATAGTCACTGAAAATAATATTCCAGAAGTTGCTGAAATTTGAATACAGAAAAAAAATCGAAAATCGTAAAACGAAAATAATGTCCGACCGGCAATAAAGTAAACCAATAAAGTGAACTTTTTCCGCTTTTTTTTCAACAGCGAAAATAGAAACGGAAATACTTTCTGCAAGGCTTGTGTTTCGTAGGTGCATGTAAACGCCAAAGCTTTTTTTCAAAATAGAGTCAAATTTCGAAAATAACGAAATAGCACTTGCGCACGAGAGGACCCGTGCTCTGTTCTCCTTTGATGATCTGAAACCGAAATAATAGACAGTTGAATCGACAACCTGTTGAAAGGCACTTTGTAAACGCGTGCATAAAAAAAAGACTTCTAGCAAGAGTGGAACTTTTCATTCACGATAACGGCAGTTGTTACTTGTACTTGAAATGCACACAATTCAACAACTGTGGCTGCGTACGAAAAGCAGAAAGTGCAACATTTACGAAAATGAGCGGGGAAGAAAAGCGAGTCCCCCGTACACTTACGACGTTGATCATTACGAGAGGGAGTACCAGATAAATTTCTTGTAAAAATGCCCAGGTATAGTTTTTATAGTTTTTAAAATGTTCACGAGATGTTACATCTATACCCTGTTACTCTTGTTCCCGGTTTACAAATTGAAAGTCAGGCAAGAGAACGAAGGGAAAAATTTGCGTAATGATATTCAAACATTACGTGCTAAATTCAATTATTTACCCTAATTAATACGTGCAGCCGTACATGTATACAACTTATAGCACACGTAATAAGATCTCTACAGTATAACTAATATTTATAAAAAAAATAGGCTAATAAAGATAAAATTACGCTTACTGATATCGTTGCCATAACATTTGATGTCATGTGCATTTATTGCCGGCGCGCGGTTAAATTCGTTAAGCGAACGAATAGCGCCCGATACGAAATACGCTGCGATGATATCTCCACTCGGCAATTCACGCTTTACTGCTCATAAAAATTCGCGTTTCTCATTCGTCAGCATCTCGACCGCGGCGTTATCTCTCGCGCGTCCCGTATAGCGAGCGGTGCTTCCCATGGGATGACGGAAATTTCGGATACAAGTATTCGTTCTCACCCAGGTAGAGATTAGTTTTGAATTAAAGCCAACTTTAAATAAATAGTTTTCGCTCGCCGGGAAAGACAACCCCAAGGGCATCTGCACGCGAACTATTAGCATACTGCTTGACAGACTGGCCATTGGACTATCACTCTTCGAAACCAACCTGCCGTAAGTACGTCCGATTGCAGAAACTCACGAAGAATTTCGGCGTCACGGTTTATGTTTAGACGCGCGAAGAAAGATTCGCGGTCACGGCGCGGCGCGACACGTCCCCGGTATTGCGCCTCTGAAATTTTCCAGCTTAAATCCGTTTGTGCAGTGTAAAGTCGCGTAACGTGTGAATCGCATATTTAATATATATATTTCTCTAGTTTAAATAAATGCGACGAATTCAGGTCGCTTTCTCATTAAGCATTCAGCTCTTGTGTCCCGCGAATGCTAGATGTAATTGGAAGACTTAAACTCGCCGTAGAACGCGCGGTAGAAATTTTATTAGAGTAACATCTGTCGACGTTAGAATTACGTTAAAGCGTCCAAGTGAAATATGCGAACTTTCACTGCCATTCACTTAACACTAATGATAAAATTGAATAATACAATAATAAAAATAATAGTCATAAATTAAACAATACTAAATCACTAAATTATTGCACTGTTAAATCTATAGTGTCAAATTTAACCCTATTTGAGGGTTAAATAGGCCACTGCTCCTACTTAATAGTTATTTTTAACTAAAACAATAGTTAAATAATTTAAAACAATTCAAATTTAACCCAAATTTGGATTAAATATCATTGTTTTATTTAAAAATAACTATATTGTTTTAGTTGAAAATAATTATATATTAAGTTATAGAAGCAGTGAAGACTCAAATAAAGTTAAATTTGATACTATAGATTTAACAGTGTAGTTTTTAATTATAATAATTTTTT